TATATATATATATATATATATATATATATATATATATATATTAATATTTGCTCAATAAGCAGAAATGAGAACAAAAGGAAATTTGCAACCCAAAAAAAGGCTGAAATTAGAAAAAATAGTAGCTTAAAAGGTAAAAAGAAGCCTAAACTATCAGAAGGAAGCAGAAAAAAATGAAATGAGCTGAAAAAAATCTGGAATTAGCTGAAAAAGCTAAAATTAGCACAAAAAAGCTAAATAGTAGCTGAAATGAGCATAACAAGCTGAAATTAACAGAAATAATGTATTAGGCTGAAAGTAACAGAAATTAAAAGAAAAAACAACCTGAATTTATCTGAAAACAGCTGAAATTAGCTAAAAAATGCTAAAAAGATAGCTGAAAAGGTAGAACAAGCTTACATTAGCAGAAGAAAGAACATGTTTGTCCATTTAGGCTTAAAGAAGCAGAAATGAGCACAAAGAAGTGGATATTTTCTGAAAAAAAGCTGAAATTAGCATAAAACAGCTTAAAAGTTGCTAAAAAAGCAGATAGAAGCTCAAATTACCAGAAGAAAGTGGAGAGAGCACATTTTTGCTAAATTAGTCTGAAAAAATTGAGTGCAAAACATCTAGAATTAGCTAAAATAGCTAAAGTTAGCATAAAAACAGCTAAATAGTAGCTGAAATAGCAGAAGAAGCTGAAACTTGCATAGATAAGCTGAAATTAGCAGGAAGAAGTTAGAAGAAGCACAAGAATGTTATAGTTAGCAGTAATAATCTCACAGGATCACAAAACAGATGAAAAAAAAAACAGCTGAAAGTAGCTGAAGTGTAAATTTGCATAAGGAAGCTGAAAGAAGCTGAAGCAGAACAAAATGTGAAATGAGCAGTAAAAGGCTGTAAACAGATCTAAAGAATTGAAGGATGTAAAATGAGCTCAATTCATTTTCTACGAGAAAAAAAATGGCAGAAAAGGCTAAATATTTCCAAAAGCTAAAGTTGCACCAATACTAAAAGTCCTAGCACCCTTTCTCCTGAACAAGCTGAACATTTTGATACATGATTTGTTGAAATAGCACAAAAAGTGCGGAACAAGAAAGATGCTGAAAAACGTATGGAAGAAAAATGGATCACAACAGTGTGAATGCTTCGTAAACGTTCACAAAATAAATCGCTCACTGTTGCTACAGAAAACTAACTCTGAAACACAGGTTCAAAAATACAAGGTTGAGTCTTAAAGTGCTTTTGTGGAAGAACGACATCAACTTCAAACCTCACTTTACAAATTAAAAAAACTAGACTGACCCTTTGACTTCTGCAGGAGGAACGTCCTCCTGATTCTCGGGCCCTGTGGGGTCTTCAGATTTTTCATGAAGATGGTCTTCGTCGCAGGTGGTTTGTGTTGGTTTGTCCTCCTCCTCCTCAGCAACACTTTGCTATGCAAGAGGCGAGCACGAGCAGAAAAGTTCATGAAACTGACACAAAACTAAGACTACGCGCTAAAAACCGAAGGGGGGGGATCACTCACTTGTGCTACTTTTTGCTGCTTCTTTTTTCTTTTTTGCTTTTTGGACAACCTGAGGGGGTGAAGAGAAAGACAAGTAAAAATAAATCATTTTATTAATTATGATGAGTCACAAAGCTCTAACTGCCATGACGACCAGGTCAAATTAAGAAATTTGGCTGTGTTTGAACCATTCATTCACTTTATACTCTTCCATATACAGTAAATACAAAAAGTATTCACCCTATTGGATATGTTGTGCTTTTATTGCTGTCAAAAATGTTGAAGAAAATTCACATTTCTTTTTGTAGCGTACATTAGTCAAGATTTAATTAGGGTTTTCTTCAACAGCGTCTTTCTGTTTGCCTCAACCGTAAAGCTTGGACTGGTGGAGAACTCGGGCAACAGTTGTTGTATGCTCAGTCTCTTCCTTATGTGAAGCTGAAGCTTGGACCTCCTTGAGAGAGGTCCCGGGTGTCTTGGTGGTTTCTGTCACCATTCTCTTCATTCATGATGTAGTGCCCTGGACTTTATCTTTTCGTACAATAGTTGTGTATAGAACTTGCACTTCAGTAAAATGACCATAATCAGTGTCCTGAGCCGACACAGCAGGCTAATCAAGGCTAATGCTAAACTCTGCAGCTCATTACTGAGATTCTTATTAGACTTGGTAAAAATGACTTTAAATTTCTAAATATCTCTAACGTGGCTCAACTCCTCTGCCTGCGCTGTGAGAAGTGATTCAAATTGCAAACTGAAAACAACATGTTGAAGTCTAAATATAAAAATGTTTTGAAGATAAGTTGAAAATCACAAAGTAAATATTGCAGGATTTTTTTTTATTATTTTTTAACGAACCACCACTTTAAAATCAGTTACTATGTTTAACAATATGTGTGCGCAATTTTATTTTAAATTTCACTATAATCATTCATTCATTCAACCTTTATTTATACAGGCTAGTCTCACTGAGCCTCGAGGACTCATTTACAAGAGAGACCTGTTTTTTAACAAAGAATGATGACAACAGTAGACGATCATAAAAAGCATATTAATTGAAAAAAAAGGGAAATTATATATATTTTTTAAATGAAGCATATAAATGATGCATCAACTACATATATCTGACCTACATTATCTATGTAGATTGTGAAGAGGGTGGGTCCTAAGACTGAGCCTTGTGGTACACCATTGTTAACAGTTAGATAATTGGAAGAAGTACCATTATTGACAAGACAAAAGCAGTTTGTTGAAAGTACTTGTGCAGTTACAGCTGCAGTTTGTGGTTGTGTAAACACTTTGAAAGTGTAAGATACACTCAACAAAAATAGAAACTCAGCACTTTTGTTTTTGCTCCCATTTTTCAGAAAATGTCATCAGCACCTTGATACACCACACCTGTGAGGTGGATGGAATATCTTGGCAAAGGAGAAGTGCTCACTAACACAGATTTACACACATTTGCGAACAATATTTAGGAGAAAAAGGCCTGTTGTGTACATCGAAAATAGTCTTCGATCTTTAGAGTTAAATTCGTGAAAAATGGAAGCAAAAACAAAAGTGCTGCGTTTATAATTTTGTTCTGTAAATGAATTTCGTGTCAGTGTTGAGGAGACAAATCTTCCAAGTTCACAACAAAGAACAGTGAAATTATGTTGTTTATCACTTCAGATTCAGAAGTGCTGGCGTTTATTTTTGAGACACCTGACTGTGAATACTTGGTGTATAATTATGAAGTACGCCGAGCTCAAGTAGTGTTCGAAATACCCTATATCATCTATTATATAGTAATCATGGTGTACTGAGTGAGTGAACAATTTAAACACAGCTATTTTTTTATTACTAATTTACTTTACTTTTGCCTTGGCTTTTCTTCATCCTCCTCTTCTTCATCATCCTCCAGCCCTTCATGTACATTCTCCCCATTCTTTCCATCCACGCTCAAACCAAGCGAGTCCTCCTCTTCTTCCAGCTGTTGCCGTAGCAACACCACCATCTCTCGGTGCTTTTTGGACTTTTCATGGTTTTTCATACTGTGAAGGAGAAAAACGAAGAAGCAATGAAACATCTGTGAAATAAGTACAGGAAAAAAAAAACGTTTATGGAAATACATAATCAGTGAAAAACATGTTTTGTGATTTATATTTAAAAATGTTCTATAGTCGTTTTACCCATGAGGATAAAATGTCAGTACAAATACTTGATTTTCAATGACTGCAATGAACTTTTCACAATGAAGTCAAACTGAAAAACTAGAATCTGCTATGAAGCTTTAAATATTGGAGAAAATTAAATAACTGTTCTGAAAGAAATCAGAGAATTTTGTAAAATAATTTGTGTTTCAAACCTTCAAACTGGTGAATTTAGACAAATAGCACATTGTCAGGACACAAACTGGTTGATACATTTCAACAGAACTGATTTTTTTTCCCCACTTCTCCCATTTATAGACGATCCTTTCACGCAGCTCAACCTTTCTAGCTTTTACAGTAATATCTGTTATTTGCTTCTGCTCCCCTCTACGTTCCTCTTTCTTTCTGCAGAGACATGCCCACCCGCAGAGAGGTAAAAGTGAGAAA